TTTTCTAAAATGTGTCAGTACTTAACTGTTTTAATGTCATGCCAGACCTGGTTTATTATCAGCAAAAGTGATTGACTCATGCCCTTACTGATTGATATTCAACAGATATGCTTGTCTTGGCTTGGCAGTCAACAAATCAAACGGAGGAAAGATATCCAGAAAATCTTACCAGGATTCAAACTGTTTTCAGAAATGGCACTAATACTTGTTATTAATTTGTTTATTTTCACTCCTTTTTTTAAAATGCTACATATTTTTTGAATTGTATCTTTTTCATCTTTCTTAGGCAAGAAGTAATTTTCAGCAGCTAAATCTATGCATATTAATAGCTTAATTACACAGAATTTAAACCAATGCCTTTCAAAATTTCCTCCCTCTCCAAAAAAAAACGTTAATGCCTACCTCAGGAGGTGGTATAACTTCCTCAAGATCAGCACCACCAGATCAAATCTGACCCAGTTTTGTCTACTTGCACTGTTATACATACATCAGCAAACTGGCTGATTGTTGTAGTTTCCGTATTATTCCAAATATTTTCCTATCTCTGTCACAGTTCAAAACAGAGTATTTTAAAAACTATACAAATACAGATGTTACATGGTTTGAATGTTCAGTCTCTACTGTAATAGCAGAACTATTTATATAAAGTTTCGATTACTATTTCTTATCAAAGGGGCAATTTATAGCAATACTCATTTGGCCTTGATTTTTCACAAATGGCCTTCTCTTATAGTTGCCTCAGAACAAACATTTGCAAAAATCACCAAAGTTTTATGTTTACTGACAGCTGCCTGTGACTTCTCAAGTTTTAACGGTAATAGTGTCTGACCGATGTGGAATAATCTCTATTTTGTTGGTAGGAAGTTCCCTCCAAAATGTGTTTTTACCCTCTGTATATGCAGAGAGAGTGACCACACTGAGCTGAAGCTGGCTGCTCCACAGTGAACTGTGTCGTTGCTGTAACGGAGCATGTGTGCCTGTGTACACACTCCAGAAGACACCGAGTGCAGCCACCAACTGCTCCAAACTGCATAGCCCAGTCCCACCTTACCACGATGTCAAAGATCCATTAGTTTAGACTATGTTGTATGTATTGAACACTTGTGGGGGTAAACAGGTCCAGTATTTTTAAAAATTATTGCAAACGGCACATTAGAAAACCGTCATTACACAGTTGATTACAAGGTATCCCCTCCACCTCAAACTAAACATTGATACATCTTTGCCAGAAACTTCTCATGAAATGTCCAAAGCATTATTTGTCATCACCCTTACCAGAACCTCACTTGTACACTCTAAGAATCACTTTTCAGCATTACAAAAAACCCCTTTTATTATCCCAGCTTTAAAAATACAAATGCTACATTCGTGGTTTAATATAAAAATTAATCAAAGTTGAAGCATGTTCAATTCTGATTCGTTTGTAATCTGTTGAATTAGGCAAGTATATTAGAAATGTAATTCCAGCTATTACAATGTTTTACATTTACTGAGACACTGAGATTATGGTATTCTACAGACAGTCATCTGAGTCCTTCTGCTGCTGTTTTTAAATGATTTCTATAATATCTTCTAGTTTAGGAACCTCAAAATGGTTTGGGCGTTTTTAATAGATATCTTTTGTCCACTCTTCTACAGTGCAATTATTCAAGTAATATCTCATCACCAGCTGTTTGTTAACATTTCCTTTCAAAATCAGTAAAAAATATATATTTAGCATTTCACTTTTGACCAAATAATTTAAAACGATTTTGAGTGTAAATCTGTAGTTGATGACATGGCCAATTATCTTCAGCCTATTCTAAAACTTCTGTGGTAATGTTAACACGAAAGTTATGGTAAGCCCAGTCAACTTAAAATCCGGCCTAATGTTTATCTTCCATTCTGTTTCCCAAACTGCCAGGCTTCTCTCTGCTACTGTGAATGTCCCTTCACTCCTAGGATTATGTTTATGGAACATTCATTTTTAAATTATTCACTCAATAAAATCTATTTTGAGGATATATTAAACACCATTTCATTAAATAAATAAGAAGCTTAATTTGCTTAATCTTGTATTAACAACAATTTCCACCTTTGAAGACAGTCAAATTAGTTAAAAGGCTACATGCATCAAATAGTACTGCTTTAAGCAGCTTGCTTTCTAAAAACGACAAATATTCTTGTACTGTGCAAACTATTTTTGGCCTGTTGCAAAATATGCTCAGGAACTGTAGCAATATCTTGATCCCAGCTGCGAACAGAAACGAAGCTTCAACACTGACTTGACAAGAAGTGTTTTAATTCATGAGATGTGCAGCACTCATTATATCTGGCCTATAAAACTGCTTTCAGTACAGCAATCGTTAGGCTTCTTAATATAACGTGTAAATGATTTACATTACACTAATGGGCACTGGTTAGCCCTCCTGTATCCTGCCTCCACCTTGTTCACATTTCTCAAATGAAAGTGCAAAACCTACAGCACTACTTCAGCTTGTTAATTGTTAACTATGAAGGGTATCACTCTATTAATTAAAATATGTTTTAATAAAAGGAAACATAGCACATTTTGATAGCAGCCTTCTAAGGCTGAAAAGTATTTACATTGTTGCATTTTAGGGCTGCTGTGAAAGCCGATTTTGTGCTATTCAGGGACCACAATAATAACGCTTTAAAATTCCTCACTGGGATGCAATGTAGTCCTTTTGATGGAAAGACTGTCTTTCTCATTCGGCAGAAATAAATCCATTCATTTGATCATGTAGTCATTGAGGGCAATACAAAACAAACCAAGTGTGAGAAATTCTATGTGATGAAGTAAACAAAACAAAACCTCCCAAAAAGGGAAAAAAAAAAAACCATTTCCATGACAAAAAGATTCTTTGTCCTTAATCTACCCACCATATGCAAGCGTTTCTTTTTAGCATATCTCTTGTTCTAATCTCGGGTGACATGGCTACATAGATAAGATTCACAAAACAAAACAAAAACCTAGTTTAACAATTTTTTTTCAATTTATTAACTCGCCAGGAGTGTCATAATGAAGTAGTGGGGTTTTATTTTTCTGTGTTGAAATGGATTCAGAGCATGTAAAAGTTTATAACACTAGTGATAAATTCTTAGACCTAGAACCCACCCCAGCAGACACCAGGCTCAACAAATCTTGTTCACATGATAAAATACTAATTCTTATCTGCTTGCCTAGATTAATTTCTTTTACATGACCACTGTTTCTTAAGGCAAAAAAAAAATCTTGAAAATGCACTGCTTTGCTCCTCCTCTGTGACAGAAGGAAGCATTTCCCTGTGAGTCTGTTATTGTCAACACCCAAGTGGGTTTCCCTGGAGCAGTGGCAGCAGCCCCCTTAGGAGCCCTGGACCGTGTGGGACGCGATCCCTAGCTCCCCAAATACCCTGGGAAGGAGCAGGAGGCTTAACGATTTGCCACTCTGACAGATGTTTTAACCTGATGAAGTGGATTCACACTGCCTTAAGCTTTACGGCTGTAAAGTTGAGATACAATAGTCAAAATCCTCCTCAGGCTTCAACTTTGTTGCCTTTCTCTCCCCACATATGCAACTTAAAATTCATTATAGCTTTGAAGCAGGAGACTTTTTTTTTCTTTTCGAAGTGGGAGGAGGGGGTAAAAGAGTGGAGCAAGGGGCCTACACAGAAAGCCGAGAACATAAGGGCTCCCACTTGGTTATGCGAGAAAGTAAGAAAGCAGTGGGCTCTATGCAGAGAGGAAAAGAAAAACTTTCAAGTGGAAGCTCTCAGCTTAGCCCAAGAAAACTCAGGATGGGCTGTAGCATGCCTTTGCACGCAGCAATGCTGAGGACTACTAAGAGAATTAAACTTTAAAAAGGAAGAAGAAAATCCCTGCAGCCCTCTTCTCGGAAAAATAAACAAAATTACAGCAATGTGGATATGAGGAGTGATTACAGCCAAAATCTTCCCAGCTTTGGACACTTGTTCCCTAGCAGTCTGGGCAGTCCAGATGCAGAAAAGCAAGTGTGCGTGTGGGGACGGAGCCGAGAATGGCGGATGGGCGAGAAAATACCCCTTTCCCTCCGCCCGCAGCCGGCGCGACAGGGGCCGGTGGCGGTGGTGGCACTCCATGTCACCTACCACTGCTCGTAATTACAGTCGCAGCAGAGCCAGGAGGCGAAGGGGGGCAGACAGCGCGGAGGGAGGGTGGGGGAAGAGAAAAGCTGCTGCTCAACCTTCTTGAAAATAATGAAATCAACTCCGCTGCCCCCCGCTCGCCTCAGCGGCCCTGTCCGCTCCCTCCGGGGC